CTTTCTGCCTTTTGTTCTCTGGGTTGATTGCTATAGTAAGATGGGCAAGAAAGATAATCAAACTCTGATTGTGTCATATTTTTCATGTTATAATTATAGAATTATAAAATATAAGTTATTTGCAGATGAAATAAAATCAACACCTTTGGTCAAAAGTTACAGTGTAGTTAATACCAACCTGTGTATATACAGTGGAAACTAGGTGAGTTGAAATTGTCAGCAGTGGTTTGCCTCCATCTACCCATTTAATTTCAGGGCCAGAATGCTAATGTAAAAAGAAAAGTTGGTTATTTAATATATTAAATACAAACCAGCTTTATCTAAAAGCAAAAAAAGGCAGGTATTATCTTGGGGTTTTTACTTTGCTCATGCCTGACTCTTGACTGTTAAGATATCCACTTGGAAGATAAGCAGATACTGGTATATGTTGTTCACTTGTCACCACTCTGCCATCTTTTAACAACTGAAGCCAAGAATATCCAACTAGAAGGAATGTAAAGAGAAATTATATCTTTGCTGTATTCTCTAATAAGTGTACAAACATATATTTCAATAGTCAATTCTATCGATTATTTGCAAGTCCTATATCATTATTTCTTAAGAAATTATTTACTTTCACATAAATTATTTTAATATGTAATCTGAAGTTCTAATTGAAAAGAGCAAGAATAATACATTTGTTTGCAAATACTATTGAAGTGAAGGTATTTAGCAGTATATCATTTTTATATCAACCAGTATTGTTAAAAATACTCTAACATAAAGTAAATGGAAAGAACATATAGTGAATGTTATGATTAAATGTTTAATTTTAGTTAAATATATCACCTATAAAAAAACAACTCAATCAAACCTTGTGTTTCAATTATGTCCTTCTTCTTTGTGGTGCCTTTACTTGAACTGTCACAACTAACATGATAGAAGGTAAACAATAAATGGTGTTTTTCATGCAGCTGTGTGGGCAATTCTATTTTTACCTAAGAAGAAATAAATTAAAAGTTTTGGTTTGGAAAGTGTCTTCTAGTAGTAGTGATTATATAAGTTTTACACGTAAGCATATATACATTTACTACTGGACCAGATTGAAGAGATTTGGTATTAACCTATAATAAGGCCTTAAACAATGAGGGACCAGTATATTGTCATGCAGGCCTAGCTCCTATTGTAAGCAATTCGAGACCATCTGATTGTACCACATATTATCAGTTCTTATTTGGGGTGAAGAAGGAAGAGAACCTTTTCTGTCAGGGCATTTTAAAATGATAATAATCACCTAGAGTTAAAACTAACACAATCTTATTTCAATTTATGTTCTTGTTCAAAATATTTTTAATAATGCTGGCACATGATTTTTCATCATCATACTACTATACTACTTATGATTGCTGTTCTTTCCTGTTTGTGAATTCTATTGGCTAGAGACCAAACTTCAAATAGCAAGTCTTCCTACTAGAATCAGAGTGCTGCTAAGATGGAGATTAGATCAAGTGAACTGAAATACTGATGACTTTACAAAAATGGATAAAATATGCATTTTACATTTTAAAATATAGGATAGTATGCAATTACATGCATTTTCCCCATTAATTATCATCTGATATGTTGCTACTCTTTGTATTTTTTCTTTCTGTATATGTTCCTTGTTTTCTGTTTTTTTACAGAAAAAATAGTTTCCTTGCATAACATTTTCCTTAAAGAATAATTGCAAAAAGATCTTTCATATTTATCACAAATAGTCTTACAGTGTTGGAAAATTAGTTGATATCACTGTGTCATTTTATGGGTAGAAAAAGTAGACAGACGTATCTGCCTACCTCTGAATAAAAACGCTTGACATGTTGCAAAGCAACTTCTTCCCTCTTATCCCACTGTGTTTCTGGATTAAAATGGGCAAGGATTTTGGGAGAAAGGAAAGAAGACAAAGTTACCTCATCATAAAATTCTGGGTTTTGATGGTGATGCAGAACTGAAGCAAAGGCTTGTCTTGTAAATATTGGACCCCCTGGTCTGCCATAGATGCACTAGGAATGAAAAAGATTTATACTGATTTATACTGATCCTATTTTTTTAGATACAATTTCTGAAATATTTCATGTGAGATTTTTTTTTAATGTTTCCCTTTTTTAACTCTTCTACAAGATAAGGTAAGTTAGCAAAGCTTCTTCTTTAATTATGCCTCAATGGATGAAAAAATGCTCAGAAAATATTCTGCCAACCGTTGCTATATTTAACAATACTTAACAGTATGGACATGAAGCACTTTGGTAGGGGTATGTGAGCCTAAGCGTGCTCTGAAGCATTTCTCAACTTTCAGTCTAAAGTGCTTCACATTCCTACTGTACAACTTCTGGTATGTAATAATAAATACTCTGTGGTATATGGAATATATGATAAAAGGATTATTATTTCTTTAGAGATTGATTCTGTGTCTGGCGTGACTATGCCATTGTTCGCTCCCTAGAGACTAAAATGGACGATCTGAAATTTGAGCTGGCCACGAACAAGGAGTGTATATCGGAGGTGGTGACCCTTTGAGAGCTGTATGCAACGAAATTTCATTTTGATATATGCCGATTGGTGTACATTCAAAGTGACAATAAAGTTGTTATATTATTATTATTATTGTTATTATTATTATTATTATTACTACTACTACTACTACTACTACTACTTACTACTACTACTATTACTACTACTACTACTACGTGAAGGAAGAGGAGATGGCTTTTGTATTAACAGAGCAGAGTTCAAACTCTGCTACAATTGCTTTCTTCAAGGGGGAATTCCTGGCTTTTACTGATGTTATTTTGTTATTCCTATGATGGATTTACAACTTGTACTTTCCTTGAACCTGATAATTCGTAACACAATGGAAAGCAACATGGAGATGAGAAATAAATTGTAAATCTAAAAAACAAGGCAGGGTGATGCAGTGAGATAAACTGAGACTTGCTAAATTGCTTTTAACCCTTATTTAGTGTTTCTAAAACAAAGGGGTTTTTTTAAACCATGGAATTTCTTACGTAACCTTGAATACAGACTAGGAAAGTTACTAGAATAGAATAGAATAGAATAGAATAGAATAGAATAGAATAGAATAGAATCTGGAAGGGACCTTGGAGGTCTTCTAATCCAGTCCCCTGCTCAAGCAGGAGAACCTATACCATCTCCGACAAGTAACTGTCTAGCCTCTTTTTAAAAATCTCCAGTGATGGAGTGCCCACGATTTCTGGGGGCAAGCTATTCCACTGGTTAATTGTCCTCACTATCAGGAAGTTTCTCCTTAATTCCAGGTTGCTTCTCTTTTTGATCAGTTTCCAACCATTGTTTCTTGTCCTGCCCTCTGGTGCTTTGGTGAATAATGTGACCCCCTCTTTTTTGTGGCAGCCCCTCAAATACTGCTATCATGTCTCCCGTTTCTTCTTTTCTTTAGACTAGCCGAACCAAGTCTTGCAGCCATTCTTCATATGTTTTAGTCTCCAGGCCTTTGATCATCTTTGTTGCTCTTCTCTGATTTTTTTTTTCCAAACTCTCAACATTTTTTTTGTGATATGGTGACCAAAATTGGCTGCAGTATTCCAGGTGTGGTCTTACTAGGGCTTTATAAAGCAGTACTAATACCTCATGTGATCTTAATTCTATGCAACTATGCAACTTACTAGGGCTTTATAAAGCAGTACTAATACCTCATGTGATCTTAATTCTATGCAATTCTAATACAACCCGGGATTGTATTAGCTTTTTTGGCTGCTGCTGCACACTGCTGGCTCATGGTTAAGTGATCGTCCACTAGGACTCCAAGGTCCCTCTCAGTTACTGTTTTTAAGCCAGGTCTTGCCCAATCTGTACTTGTACCTTTGATTTCTCCTGCCTAAATGTAAAACTTTGTTTTTCTCCCCATTGAAACTCATTTTGTTGGATAGGGCCCATTGTTCAAGTTTGTCAAGATCTTTTTGGATCTTTAGTTGGTCTTCTGGGTTGTTGGCTACTCCTGCCAGTTTGGTGTCATCTGCAAATTTGATGAGTTCCCCTTCAATTCCGTCATCTAAGTCATTGATGAAGATATTGAAGAGTACTGGGCCTAGGACGGAAACTTGTGGTACCCCACTGCTTACTTCTCCCCATGTGGATGTAGTGCCATTGAGGATTACTCATTGAATTTGGTTTGCCAGCCAGCTACAGATCCATCTGGTGGTGATATTGTCTATTCCATCTTTTTCTAGCTTACCAAGGAGTAGGTTGTGGTCTACATTATCAAATGTCTTACTGAAGTCTAAGTATACTACGTCCACAGTATTTCGCTGGTCTACTAGTTTAGTCACTTTGTCGAAGAATGAAATAAGTTTGGTTTGGCATGATTTGTTTTTAATAAACCTGGGCTGGCTACTAGTTATAACTTTGTTTGCTTCTAGTTGTTCGCAGATCTGTTTTTTGATTATCTTTTCTAGGATCTTTCCAGGTATTGATTGGTCTGTATTTTCCTGGGTCCGTTTTTTCCCCCATTTCTTGAAGATGGGAACCATATCAGCCCTTTTCCAATCCTCAGGTACTTCCCCTGTGCTCCAGGATTTTTGAAAAATGTGGTGCAGTGGTTCTGTGATAATATCTGGCAGCTCCTTCAGAACAATGGGATGTAATCTGTCAAGGTTGGATAGGTGTTCTCTACCATTTTCTTGCTTATTTTAATTTTGGTTTCTAATTTGTCTTTTGCAGTGGTTTTCTGGTATGTTGGACTATGGTTTCTTTTTGTGTGAAGACTGATGTAAAGTATGAGTTAAGCAGCTCTGCTTTCTCCCTGTTGCCTGTTATTTCCTTGCCATTTTCTCTCTTTAGTGGACCTACAGTTTCCTTGACTTTTTTCTTGTTGTTAATATGTTGGAAGAAACTTTTTTTTATTATCCATGATTTATGTTGCAAGTCTTTGTAAGTTCTGAGCCTTTGCTTTCCTGACTTCATCTTTACATGTTCTGGCTGTCTGCTGATAATTGGCCTTAGTTATGTGCCCCTCTTTCCATTTTTTGTATTGTCCTTTTTGTCTTTCAGTTTGTCAGAGAGATCTTTGTGCAGCCATGCTGGTTTCTTCTTGAATTTCTTGTTTTTCTTTTTCAGTGGTATTGTGCTGGTCTGGGCTTTTATGACCGCATTTTTGAGAGTTTCCCATGCTTCTCGTGTTGTTTTCCACTTTAGAATTTTCATCCATGGGATCTTTCCTAGGTTCTCTCTGAGTTTGTTAAAGTCAGCTCTTTTGAAGGTCAAGACACTGGTTGGATTGTTTTCTGTTGCTAGTGTTTGTGTTATATTAAATTCCAGTATGACATGGTCACTTTCGCCCAAGGTTCCGGCAACTTCAACTCCCTCTATCACTTCTTCTTTATTAGTTAGAATTAAGTCCAGTATGGCTTTACATCTAGTTCTCTCCTCCACCTTTTGGATAACAAAGTTGTCAGCTAGGTTGGTTAGGAATCTGTTTGATCTCCCACTTGCTGCAGAGTTTGTCTCCCAGTTGATATCTGGATAGTTGAAGTCTCTCATTACTATTGTGGTATGCTTCCTATATACATCTGTTAACTGGTTGGCAAAGAGTTCATCTATTTTTTCTGATTGGTTGGGTAGTCTGTAATATACACCTATGGTAATGTCACTTTTTTTTCTCTTTTATATTGACCCATATGCATTCTGGAGAGATTTTATCTTTGATCATGTGCGTTTCTGTAGCTATGTAGTGTTCTCTTACATATAGTGCAACACCCTCTCCTCTTTTTGTAGACCTGTTTCTTTTGAACAATTTGTATCCATCCATGAGTCCATTCCATTCATGGATTTCATCCAGGTTTCTGTAATACCAACTATGTCATATCCTCCGTCGTGTACTCACTATTGTACTCAGGTTCTTTGTTGTGTCATTCGTCCCAATGTGGAGGAGGAAGAAGGGATAGTAATCTGTAGGCCTAATTATTTTGGTTAGGTTCTCAGCCACATTTGATTTTTGCTCCAGGGAGACAACATACCTCCCTGGATTGTATGTCTGGTCTGCAGATGGATGATTCCGTTCCTTTGAGGACACTAATAGAAAGTGAGTAGAGTTCTTTATATCGACTTCTCCCTATCTTGAAATTCAATTCTAAATACCAAAGAATATGCACACAAACACAAAAAAAACCCCAGCGGTGTTAAAGGGATGTGCATTAACACAAATTACAATCACATACCACTGTGAATGTTGTAATTTTTAAAACTTCATGAAGGATTATTTTTGTATACTGCTATTCCTGAAATTTTATATCTTTCAAGTCTGAGAGTCCAATCTTTGTTAAAACACCTAGTGGGTAGGAAAAGTATATTTCTTACATAGCTGCACCTATTCTGATTTAAACTAGAAAAATCATTGCTCTGCCTCAATATGAAAAATAACTTTGCAAGCAATTGGATGACTCTAATTTTAGGCAGCAAACTTCTTAAAGAAGGATGTTACCTCTTTTGTTTATATTTCTACATATATATGGAAAATAAATTTAATGTAACACAGAAACCAAATTATTTAGCAGCTATGGTTAACTTGATATCTCCTTAACTTCCTGAATTATTTCACTGGAAAAAAAATATCCAAACTCCATTTATTTCAATGAAGAATGCAGAGTATAGTTGTGCATACAAATACAGCTTGTTCTTGTAACCAGGTTTATTTATGCTTATGTAAAACACAGAAAATATTATTACAGATCTTGAGGATGTGTCTTAGATATTGCTCCATCATCTGCACTGTAAATTGATATTAATGACTGAACAGCCACAAGCCAGATCAACATACCTTGAGGGGCCGAGAATCCTCATCATCAGAATCTTTGAATTCTATGCCCACTGCAATATTTCTTGCCTAAAAAGAGCACAGAAATTAAGTTTAATTGCTTTTGTTTTCAAGTACATAAATCAAATTTCCAACAAAGAGACATGGTTTTATCCAGATTCAATTTAGCTTTGAATCTGAACATAATTAACAGGCATATTAACTCACCTTTGCAAATGACTTCTGACTGTCATATTTCAAGTGCTTTGGATAAACATAAAGGTGATTGTTGTAGATGGTGAAAGGCTGAGTATGTTTTGGTATGCAGGGAACAAATTCCTCTACTTCAAACGTTACTACTGCCTTGGAACTGTTTTCAAACTGTTTCATGGGAATGTATGATGAATTAACAAAATCTGAAAATATATTAGAATTGAATAAAAAAATGGAAGAATAAAGCCATTGTAGCCACTTTCACAATAGTTTTTCAATACTTACTTGGTATGTCTGGAGAAACGTTATCAATTGTTATGTCTAGATTTCCTAAAATAACTGGCAACTTAGACATTTTTTCAGGCCTATGAGAGAGAAAAAAAACAAATATGACCCAACATAAAAATGGCTAAGACAATATATTCAATCTCCATTATGGAAACATGCAAAGCATGCTTCAAAAGAGAATAGTTCAACTCATTTCAAGGAGAGATTAACACAACAAACATTGGGCTCACCTTCAAAGAAGGTATGTTTATGGAACTAGCCTTTCCCTAACTCATCGATTGCTGGTATTCCAGTTTCCCATCCCTCCCAAAATTCCCCAGAGAATCAGTAGGACTGATCAACATAATGTATTATGCCTTGTGTGGTATAACAGAGCTGAGAAGCAGAATAGGTGAATCCTCCATTGTTATGCTTTTCTCCCCTTCTGCCTGCCTACAATGACCGTTGGAGAGGCTTTTTAGAAAGCAAACAATGGAAAAAGATCATCTAGTACAGGGGTAGGCAACCTTGGCTCTTTTATGACTCGTGCACGAGTCATAAAAGAGCCAAGGTTGCCTACCCCTGATCTAGTAGATGCTGAATGGTCCTCTGTCAGAGATGCTCCAGAGGAAGCTGCACTGAGCAGGAGACTGGACTAGATGTGTTCTAAAATTCCTCCCAATTTTACAGTTTCATGAAATACACTGTGCTTTGTATTTTAGAAAAACAATGTTTTTTTCCTATTGACATAATGTACAATACAACTTTGTACCTGCAAATCCTAATGTGCATATTCATGCAGTTTTTAATTCAAAACATCCATAAAGTATTTTCACAAACTTCACTAAAATTCTCATCCATAGAATTATCTTTGCAATTTTTAGTCTTTTCAAAAAATGCCTTCTGCTACAATACTTTTACTTAACCAGTACATTTGCAAGAAGATTTTCATTTTTTTTCTACATATGACTTTTTATAGTTTCGGACAACAGGAAATCTTTCTTTTTAATTCTGTTTTACTGTATTTACATTTTACTAGTAAGGAAAATGTATAAATAGTATCCACTTTTGCAAGGAAACATTCAAAACTCATGAGTCAGGTTTCAAACTCCTAATTCTTCCAGAGTGCTCTTAATACATCAACACTAAATGTAAAATTATTGATTTAAATTTTTTTAATCATGAAATATATATCAGTACTAAAGACTTACGACATGTATATTTAAAGCCAGTTTTGAATAAATCACTTAAGCAGGATCATTCATAAATAAACTAATTAAAAATCAATATAAAATACAGAAGAAGATCTGGAGAGCTTTGATTTATCATTTCACAACTCTTCTATAACCTTACAGTCATAACTCTATTGGAGATAGAAAAAAGAAGCACCACACAATTCCAGACAACACATGTGACACAAACCAGTTTATTACCATTTGAATAATTTCATTTCTATGTAAAACAAAACACTCACTTTCTGAAATCAGCTAACAATTTAAGCATGTCTTCATTTGAAAGTTTGTTACTGTCTTGTTTGTAAAGTGTAGAAAATCTTGCACTTTTGTCCAGTGTTCCAGCCATGTCCTTAAACAGTGTTCTAAAATACAAGTTTTTAAAATAAAAAATGTCTATATAAACATTATGGTGGGAAAATAGAGAGGCAGTTTAGAAAACCTTACCACATTAACTTACTGAACTAAGTATAAATGGTTGAACAAAAAGCAGTACATTTCAATTCTAGCTAAATCATTTGTCACAAATAATGGGTTGATGCCAAACTAGAAATACATTTAAACCATTACTTTTATTCAAGGGGGAGGAGCCCTCCCATAAATTAATTTACTAATTTAGGAAGTAACGGCACTACAAGTCACAGAATTATTGGATTAAATCAAGAACACTATCATGCATTACCTGGCTGCCCATGCAAATGGCATTCTGTACTGCCCTAGTCGTTGGCAAGCCTGTTTTGCATTTTTCAGAACTTTTTGAGCAACCTGTAAACAATCATAAAAAGAACCGAATTACAACTAAAAATCCTCCCGCATACATCTCTGCAATCCAAATTCTTACTGAAACTGAAGTTTCTTCCACTCCCTTTTTTTAATTTACCAAACTGCTATTGGCATCAAGCTCACAGTTAAATTCAGCCTTAATTTCTAAAATTTATCTAAAAAGTTGTTTCCCACGTTTTTATTAAATTAAGTTCTTGTTTTCCAAATGGATCTTAAAACTAAAGCAATATCTGAGACTCCTTAACAGATTATTCAATAATTGATTTTACAATTTTTTTTAGTCTGCTTTGTCAATTGGTAAACAAATTTCAGCACAGAAGATGCAACTTTGCCTGCAATCTGTATCTGCCCGTGTAAGAATTAAACTGATATCAAAATCTGGCAACGATGTCTTGAATATGTGCCCTTTTCAATTTGATAACATTGTTGAGTTACCAAGTTATAGACAAATTCAGAAATTAGAAATATCCAACAATCAAAGTAAATACCTTAGAAGAATCAGAACTTTTCATATATGGCTCAGCACAATGAGTAATGCTCCCTTGTAGGACTTTTTCTATTCTGGCCACTAGAAATATATCTGGGTGTGGACACGTTACTGAGAATATTCCCTAAAAATAAATTAATTGCTTCATTAATTATTAAATATAAATATGGAACATTGATTTGTAATGAAACATTATTTTTTCCTTACTTGTTTGGGATATTGTAGTATAACATCTGAAATAATATCCTGAATTGGATGTAAGCAATCACAACTCCCATTCAACAACTCCTGTGATGTGTTAGCTAGCATATGTCTCACTGTGCTATGATTCAAATCAACATGGAAATCTGATGAAATCTTCCGATTATGCTTAACATCGAATAGTGACAGTGAGATGAAAAATGGCTCTACCTAGACATTAAAAAAGAAGACATCAACATAATAATGGCAAATGCTAATTTACTTCTAACAATAAATAATGTAGAACTTCCAGTAGAAAAAGCAGTCCTTATATTGCACATCAATGTTTACATTATGAATGCCATTAAACAGAATATTCCCTTATGTGCTACATCATTTTCTTATTGTCTAGATCAAACTACCGTATATATAGTCAAATGTTTAATACTACAATATTATATTCATTAAAAATTCACATGTGCATCTATTTAAACAAAACATAATCAGCTCTATATAACTTCTAATTTCTTGCTGTAGTAAAATCTTGTCACTCAATTTGTTCTTGCACTGGATTGTAAAACTCTAATAAGCTGATGAAATTATATTGTCTCAGAATGTTTTGATTCCTAAACATCAAAATATGTATTAGGTATTATTCTGGAAATATTACACAATAGATTCACCATTCCAACTTACATTTGTTGTTGGTCCCTCTTCATTTTCAGCCACACAGCTTTGTAGATTGAAAGATAAGTCATTACACTTCACCAGGATTTTCTTCCCAAACTTCTCTTCAAATGGCTTTACTTCAGGTTCAATACCAGAGAAGTCTAGTTTCTTTAAAAGAAACAAACATTGAAAATAACTTTTAAATGCTCAAATACTCAAAGCTTTATATAAAAGCTTTGAATTTTTCCCTGCAATCAGTCTTACCTGTGCATCTGGGTCCAGTGCAAAGAGCTTAACCCTGCTTTCATTTTTGAATTTGAATTCAGAATCTCTGCAACTCTACAAAATAAAATGGTATTTTAAAATTAATAAACATATTTCCCTTCTTTCTTTTGGTAATTTCTCCTAGACTAAATGGATCTCTCAAGAACAGATGTTAAGCCCTCTGTAGGACTAGTGATAACAGTATCACAGGCCAGTTTGGGCTCTAAAATATTTCTCACAGGTATGGCGAACTGATTTTAGTTTTAAATCTTTCTTCCAATTTATCATCTCTAGGCATAGTTCTAAGTACTTTGGATCATTTCCCACAATAAATAAACAAGTATGTTTTTGATTCATTTTTAAATTGGGTTCTCTTTTTTATCTAGCTTTAGGACTTGTGAAAACAGTCCATGTTTTAGATCATATTTATGCAGAAAGCTTGAAAAGGATACACAAACTGTTAAGCACCAACGTACATCAAAAGTATTACAACGTATTAAGATATACCTTGATGAGCTGCAAGTGCAAATTTGGCACAAGAAAAAAAGTAAAACTTTACCAAGAACATAAGTTTGAGAGACCAAAATTGGAGAATATAAAACAATGACAAAACTGATAATACAGATTCATAATAGAACCCTAATTGAATTCAAACAGGAAGGGCTTCTTTATATGCAACAAATTGCAGTACATTGCAAGGTAAAAAATTGGAATACAGTTTTTTAGGGTAGGTTTGTCATAATACTGCCTGCCTGCCTGCCTGCCTGTCTGTCTGCCTGTCTCTGTCTGTCTGCCTGCCTGTCTGATGTATATGGCCAGTGTCTTTCGAGAATTCTAGGCAGTTCACAACAACAAAAGAACTACAAAACCATGAAACTAAAAACTCCACATCTCAGCCATCCTGAGATTCCCTTCTCTACCTGCCAACCCTGAGTAAACAGCCAGGTCCGGATGGCCTTCCAGAAGGATCAAAGGCTGGGGGGAGGGGCTGCCAGATTGTTGGTGGGATGGTGTTCTACAAGGTAGGAATGGAAGTATAAAAATATGACAATTCTTTAATATGCTAGTATATTTCATTCTGCACTTCTCCAAAAATAGAATCTATTTCTGTAAATTCTACATTTTACTTGCTTTTGTAGTAAAATATAACCTTTCTGACCAACCTTATTTCCTGTCTAGAATTATTCTGGTTCAGAAAAAGAAGTAGATGACATTGATAGAGAAGCCTTCAGTATACCAAGAATGGGAGTGGCAAGTATCTCCTGCAAAGATTTATCGTGAAATAGAACAGGCCACCTTGTTATGAATAGCCAACTTTAAAAAATGAATGAAGACAGCATCTCCAACACAGAGAAATACAATTGCCAAGCCATTCTGTAATGTTTGTTTCTACAGAAAAAAATATATAACAGGCTGGTACCAAGAAACGGAGCATAATTCACAAGGGTACTTATATTTTGAAACCATCCAGAAATTAAACAAAATTAATCTTACTGTAAATAGCAACAAAAAGTACACAGTTCAGAATACAGGGGAAATAGTACCTAAGAAAAACATAAGCCAAAATAGCTGCTGGATCTTAAGGAAATATGAAGCCGCATTTGAGGTACCAAGATTAGATATAATAAGCAGGTGCTCTGAACCTCAGGAAAAGCCAAATCCCAGTCACTTTCTATAGAAGTCAACATTTCCTGTTTCACACTGTATTTTAACTGAATTTAGAAAGAAATAATTTTGAATGCGTCTCATAAGTTTTGTATTTAGTTTCATGTGCATCAGAGGCTAAAATTATATACCATGCACAACCATCTAGTCATCCCTATATCATACACAATTCACATTTTGCTTTTAATGACCATAAAAGACATTTCTAGAGTGAAAAGTATGATGTGACTTCAATAAATTTAAACTTCACCTTGTAGAAAATTGCTTAGTTCCTTTCCCAATCCCAGAAAAAATGTTGGCATTTAGTTCCAAAGGTTTTTTTAAGGCTGTCCCTAATTGATATATGGGTAATGTCCCATTACATGATAATGTTCTATCAAAAATTATGTCCTAATTCTTACATTAGATTGTGAGATGCAATGCAGATGTTTACCTGATCTAAGCAGAATTTTCAAGGGGTAAAAGCATACAGCACGTTGCAAAGAACAGAAGTTTCTTAAACAGAGAGCTCCAAATAGGAGCCAACGTTCTGACAAGAAGAATTAATCTGACAGTAACAAGTTAAGATAAAAAAAAACCTAAGAAGAACTAAAATGTTTAGTAAGGAATGGAAATAAAATTCCAGCCAAGAGGCTGTATACAGGGCACAATACAAAATAACATGTTCCATTGTTTCAATTATTTATTTCTCCACCACATGGACACAATCTCTGTTCAAAAGGGATGTTTTGGTATCTCCTTTCAATAATAGCTTGCTTTGAGCAAAAAGAGCTCAAGGTAAGCAGAATACTACCAAGAATCCTGCCACTAATGTAATTCTGGGACTGAAGTCCACACATTGTAAAGTTGCCAAAGTTGAGAAATACTGAACTAAATTAAGGAAGAGAAGCTAAGAGATTTTAACTATGGATCTGTCTGTTGAAGATATCATTTGTTCAAGTCTGATCCTCAACATATTGCTTTAATATATCAATCTTATGGTTAAATCAGACTACTTATTTTCTTGAGTGTATTTTTTCTAAATGTAAAACACTATTAAACCTAAAGGCCAATGAAACTATTCTGATAGAAATATTTACTTTCGTTAATTTCTTATTCTATCAAGGATTAGGTGTACTTAAGTAAGATTCTGATCACTTTACAATTATTAGTATTAACATTTTCTTTATATTTGCCTACCAAGAAAATCTAGCTTGAAATTATGAAAAAAACTCAAAAAGCATTCTTTCTAGCAATCTAAACTTTATTTAACAACTGTACTTCAAAAACAAACTTTCCTGGTGAGTATCAACATTCTTTCCTTAATAAAGTTTATAAATTTTAGCAATTTTCAAAATTCACTTGATTTAGAAATGAAGCATTACAATGAACTATGGAATGTTCTATTCCTGCCCTTGATCATGACAAACACTTTTGGATCTTGCTGTCTTAAGTGGCTGTTTATTGACATCTTCCATCCTTCAAACCAGAAACAATTTGAGGTGTTCAGAGAGTGGTTTGAACCTTTAAAAAAGCTTGTTTTATCAAGACTACTATGCCCTGGACACACTTTTTTAATTTAAAGTATTTAATTTTAGAAATGAAAAACTACTGCTGGGTTGCGAGTTTGATATAGATAAGAGGGGCAATTGGACATTCTAGAATGACATACTATTACATACTGTCATTGCATATTGTAAAAGAGAAAATAGCACAAGACTACCTTTGCAATTTCAGGAAGGTAAGTATCTAAACCAGATGCGCTGTCCATCCTGTTTTGTTCATCTTCTGTTAATTAAAAAAGAAGTTATAGAGGTCCATTGATCATTATAGAAAAATGTTATAATCAAGAATCTCGCAAGTTTTCAAAATTCTGAAAATTGGTAATCTTTCACACTATTCAGGAACGAAATTCAAATGGGCAATTTTCTATTTTCTATTAGGTAGTGTTTGATGTTGGACTGTATCTAATTTGTCATTATCACAGCATTCTGGCACTTGTAAGAAGTGCCACCAATTGATTCTTAAAACTCACAACAGCCTAATTTGTAAAAACTAAATGAGATTCATTGTGGATATATTATTTATATCTATATATCTTATTTTGACAGTAAATGTTTTTGATAATACATATCTGTATAGGCTACCAAAAACAGAGGAAAGTCCTGTATAAACTCCCTTTTTATGACCCTGCAGTCCCTATTCAGGGTAGAATCGGCAACTAGATGGAATTGAGCATTTACTGGCCAGATGCCCTTCTGATGCCTACACGGAGTTCACAGAAGATATTTTTTTCTTTATGCCCTCGGAGAGAAACATCTGCTGTAACCTAGGATAGAACTCTCAACCTTCCAAGTGGGAGCTGAGTGTCTTCACCACTAGGCCATCATGCCGCTGTTTGAAAATTACTTACCGGTATAAGCTATTATGAATTATAGAGACAAACCTTTCTTTTACTGAATAGCTTGGAAGTAACTTGAAAATAACTTGCATTTACCGTCATGTGAGTCCTCATATCTCTTTTCTTGCATTGCTGCTTCAAAATTTAATTGGAGAATTTTGTTTAGAGTTGTAATCCATTCTTCCATTTCTGCTTCACTATCTGCCGCAAGAAGATAGCTACTCTTGTCCTGCATCTTGAGCTCAAAGGCAAAACGCCGGACTTTATTGTTCTGCAATATAATAAAAAATATTAATCTACCAGCTTCAACAGATTTTCTTTTCTCCCTCCCCCCCGTAATTTTGCATTGCTAAAAGAAACTACCACTTTTAGGCCTAAAATACTGAACTGAGGAAATGTGTTCACTCTCAATGTTTGAATGAATAATGGAAAGACTGAACAATATGATTCATTGTGGGCAAGATTTAATTTCGTGTAAAAATATATTGTTTTCTCTATTTCTATTTTAATATATATTGTGACGGTGTGTGTGTGTGTGTGTGTGTGTGTTTGTGCTTTTGTTGAGATTTTCTTTTACTTTACTATTTTTATTTATTTTTCTCCTTTTGGGAGATATGAGAAGAAAAAAGCGAGACAGTCGCTTTTTATAATATCTCTCTAGTTGTTTAGACATAATTTTTAAGATTAAATATAATAAAATTATATAGAAAAACCCATTCGGGTATTAAGAACCAAATACTTCCCAAATGACAGCTTGTTTATTTTGCTCAATTTAGCAATGTTAGAAGTCCTTTTACATTGCCAAAAAAGAGAAAGAAGTCAAAACAGGTCCAACAATTCATAATAATTTTGGGACTTCCACAGATTTATTTTGAACATATTGATTACAAGAAATTATGCTACTGTGAATTAAGACTACAAAAATGACATTCATTTTATGAGTTATGGTTAAAAAAAAAAGAACTAAAATATTTTCCATCTTAAATTCTAATTTCTCTAATTAACCATGGGCAAGTTTTCCAAAATATTCTGCCTGAGAAGTATTATTAATTTATATAATAATGTGGAAGAAAGACCTGTAATGAAGGATGAGAAGACTGGTTTGCCAGAAAATGTAAGGCAAAATATTGAAGGTTTCAACTTATATTTTCCCCCTGATTTTTGAAGAACTTTGGCATTTTGGTTATCAACTTAAAATTATATTTAGCAAAATTCACATAAGAGATATTTCCAAGGAAAAAACACACATATCCTGATTGTGTTCACATGCAATATTAAATCATGGTTTAGCACTATAAGTAGGAGCCAGAATATCCTGAATAAAGAAGGATCTCATTCTCATTTTCTTCTTGCTATTTGGGTAGACTTCAGCAGCACTGGAGTTCACTGTTGTAGATAGCCATCAATGAATACTAAAACCTGCTGTTGATTTTTTAAGTTGTCTGCTGGCTACAGTACTGTAATTCAAGATTCTGTAAAAGTGAAAGTAAATTCTTCTGACCTATTCTCCCAAATGTGTCCAAGAGGGAAATGGAGAATACATGATCATGAAGCTTTGTTCAAGCTTATTTGCTTCTAAATATAATGCTCAACCAGAGTTAGTATTATATGAACCAGAAACAAGTTTATATTAAACTATTAAAACAGAAGAAAAAATCTGAAGGTAGTTAATAAGAGTGCATAATTCCAGGCTTGTTACATCAGAACAAGTTCCCAGCATTCTCCATGCTTAGCATGCAAATGAAAAATAACTGGGGGTTTTTTTGGCCTTTCGAGTGAAAGATACTTTTTCAGTCTAGATGTCAAACTGCCGGCCCATGGGCCGGACGTGTCATGTGGAAGCCGCACCCACCCCATTGCCGGCAATGGCAAAACAGTCCCAATACTTATGGGTCATGAGTTTGACATATCTGGTCTAGATCATTATTTTTCAAACTTGGCAATCCACTAGCTGCTCAAAAGATAAATTTTGTAGCATCAAATGTAGCACCAATACCTGAATACTTGGTTCAAAAAACATGAATCTACGTTTATTAATTCAACACTTAAACTGGAACTCTTTTTTTATTGAGTTCTTATGAAAACACAGTATTTTATAATACTTGCTCACTAAAAACATAAAGCCTTTGTAATAAAAAAATATTTCTATCATCCAGAGGACCAATAGTGCAATTCTAATAAATTGATTCAAAATTAATTCCTGTTGCATTTAATGAATTTACACTTTATACAAGTAAATAAGTATAAAGGTGTAATTCCAAAGCACTAGAAAAAATACTATAGGTTTCTGCAAGAGTTACACATCATATCAAACAATATAATTCTCTACTTACTTGGACAACTCCCATGCAGGAATCCAAAAAAATTGAGCCTTTTGGTTCTTTTGATATTTTTTCATCTTTGTAGAAATTAAGATTATATGATCCATCACCAAGTTGAAGGAGATGAAAAAATCTTCTTTTGAATGACTAATTTGTGAAAAATTACATTATATTAAAAACAAAAGCAATGTGACACAAGGACCAAAAGCATCTCTTTAATTGTGCCCACAACACTGCAAACATTTTTATACATTAAGAAGTATTACTGACATCACAGTCAATGTGCACTTGTACATTATACAGCATCACAGTATTTTATGAATAGACAAAAATTCTACATACCCTCATAGTAACACTGATTGCACTATTCATGTTCCCTTTATATAACCATCCTTGTTTTGTAAGTCCACCCTTTTGAGATCCTAGAGATGCAGCATCCTATTAAAAAATAAACTTCATAAACCCATGAGTAAAACATTTAATTTTTTTAACTCTATAAATAAAATAACTAATAAACAAGTGCTTTGATGTAACTTAAATATGCAGAAAAGTTTCCTATGCTATATGACTATTGAGCATAACTCAATTTTGCCAATAGAAGAGAAACATAGTATTTATAACGCTCATTCATTATAGTTTCCCTCTTGTTGTTCAGTATTAGATCATAAAGTTAAAGTAAATTCTAAAAATACAGCTAAATCTCATTAATTAAGTGAATAATCTATTTTGATTGTCAGGTTGAAACACCGCAAAGAATTATAACTTAAGCGCAGTATTTATCAATTTTGTAGATGATTTCAAAATGCTTTATCTAAGTCTAAATACCTTGGTCAGAACAGCCAGGCAATCTATCTATTAAGGACTGGATTAGCTGGGATTAATATTCCTGTCCAATCTATTAGGATGTCCTGTCTGTTATAGGGCCTTTTGGAACATCAGCTCCTCCCAAGATTAGACTGTCTAAATACTGCTGGCCTTTCACAAAGCCTCAGACATGGTTTTGCCACTGAGTTCACATATGTGGTAGATCCTGTGCAATAGCTTGTTGATTTGCTTGTTATAGGGCAGGGATCCCCAACCCCGGGCCCACTACCGGGCCATGGCATATTCGGAACTGGGCTGCACAAGCGGTAGGCCAACATGCAAGTGCGCACCTCAACTTGCATGAGCTGGCTTGTATGCATACACGTGTGCAGATCAACTTGCGCAAGTTGAGCTGTGCATGTTTGTGCGCCGGCTCGCTGCTCACACGGCCCTGTTCCCCTCTCTCCCCCCAGCTGGGCCCCCAAGCCGTAAAGATTGGGGACACTGTTTTAGGGTTTTTTTTTAACCTTAGCTACACATTACATTTTTTGTTAAATGCTTTTATTGTGCTTTTAACTGTTGTTAGTTGTCCAGAGGCATGTATGTGAGATGGGTGGCCATATAAATTGAAATTAGAAACACTTAAATCAAATATAAAAGTTTTAGCTTGACAATAAAAATGTATGTAAAAGAAGAACTGGTCTCTAAACAAAACTATAAATTCTTGCAGGTCAGCGTAAGAAAAAAGACCACACTAATAAACTATTAATTCCCAAAGAGTTGGAAGAAGCAAGGCAATGTAGTACTTCTCTACAAAGACTAAGAAAACTAGATTCTTAAGGGAAAAATGGATGGAGAAAAGAACCATATAAAAATAGCAGATGGTATCAGTGAGAGGAGTCTTTCTTAAAAATATAGTAATAATTTTATGAAGGAATATATAATCTTTTTCACAATCTTTGCTGTATAAATCCATCTGTTGTTTTTTCCAAGGAGTATGAATTAATATAGGAGTGTTTTAATAATTCTTAAATTCTTGTTTTATTTATTTATTGGATTTATATACCACCAACTATAAATTCATAGTAGCTTACAAAGATAAGGTAATTTATGGTGTATGTATTTTAAATTTAAATGATATTTTAATGTTGCATACCACCAGGAAATACACTGAATTATAAGGTGGTTTTAAAATAATAAACAAAATTCATAAGGAACTATCATACACTTCAATCTGCAAATTATTTAAAATTCTTATGCCTAATACAGATCACTGGGGCAAAGTAATATATTATTTAATATATTTAAAAGATTTCAAGAAAAAATTACTTCTTATTAAATATAACATTTTGTTATTCCCAAAGAGGCCTATATCATAACAACAACTTAAAAATGAACTGAAGTAAAATAATCAAAATAACAGACTTGCCTCGTCCTTATCTGCTTCTTCATCAACTTCAAAAACATGAACTGGAAGCTTTTCTAATCTGTTCCCTTTGCTAAGAAAAAAAAGACACATAACACATAATAATGATTACAGGAAAACACACTGCAACAGTTTGCCAGTGTGTGAAAGTATGATTAAAATATACAGTACATGAAAGAATCTAAAAGAGAATGCCTATAATGAAGGTAATAATAGTTTTGCTCTTTTTTTACTTTTGCATCTTGAATGCAAATGTAGCTAAGATTTGCAAACAATTTGAAATTTGTTTCACAAGTGTAGGGAAAATCATTTAAAAACCCATTAAACTAATTGTTGACATCCTTGCTATAATCTGTCAATGTTAAATTTTCACCTGCTTAAAATGAAGACCTACAGCATACTATTTCTTCATTAAACTGACATATTCTGCCTTTATAGGAAAATGGTTAACAGAGTCTCATACATTTCCGCAGCTATCTGTATGCAGTACTGACACTATTCACATTTCAAAGTGGAATTTTAAAAATTAATGATAGCAATAGCACTTAGACTTTTATACCGCTTCACAGCGCTTTACAACCCTCGCTAAGCAGTTTACAGAGTCAGCATATTGCCCCCCAAAATCTGGGTCCTCATTTTACCGACCTCAGAAGGATGGAAGGCTGAATCAATCTTGAGCTGGTGAGACCTGAACTGCAAACTGCTGGCAGTGGGCAGTCAGCACAATTAGCCTGCAATACTGCATTCTAACCACTGAGCCACCAGGGCTCAATTATGAATAAGCAACATGGTTCTTGCTTCTCCTGAAACCATGAAACAAACTGCAAATGTTCTTTCAATATTGTTGTTTTTGTGAAACCCATATTGCAGAACTGAATCATCCTAACAAATTAAATCTGGAAACCAGGAAAAAACATGTTTCCAAATCTGGTCTGTTAGAACTGAAATGGAAGTAATTTCCAAGTATCTACCATATTAAATATTAAAAGTTAACTACAATTATCTCTAAGTATAATATAAAGCTTAAGACAAAAATTGCTTACTTTGGAAGCTGCCGAAAGTCTCCTGAGTAATCTTCATATTTGAAATTGACAACATGCCAGTCAGAGATGTATGTCTTAATACACTTTAAATTAGGACAAAAATTAAACTTTAGATCAATTATTTATGCAACAAATACATTTATCTTAGTAATTTGAGTACTTGCTCTTATCACACCATTATATTTATGCTAATTAAAGAAAAAAGAAGAAATTTTCATTCCTTTTTGTCGATCTTAAGTCAGCTACTTCTTAGACCCATGCCCCTCCTGGCAGGTCAAGGATGCCCAGGATGGGATGTGTGATTGGGTGGGTGGCAAACTCTTCCGTGAGGGAGGGGGAAATCCCACAGCCTCTGAAGAAAGTGGTGGTGCATCCTCTTCTCAAGGGACCATTGCTTGGCCTGACCAATCTGGACAACATTCAGTTTCCAACCTTTCCTTTTAGGGAAGATTCTGGAGGAGGTAGTCACACTTCAGCTTCAAAGGACTCTGGATGAACTGGATTATCTGGGCCCCCTTCAATTAGGCCAAGGTATGGGACAGAGACAGCATTGACTGTGCTCTTGGATAGCCTCGGGGGTGGGGGAGGCAGATGGGGATAGACCATTCTTATTATTCTTGAACTCTCAGTGGCTTTCAATGCCATCTTCATAGTATCCATGATGGGTTCCCTATTGTGTTCCTTCACTATGTGGTTGGAGTGATCAAAATTGAAAGTTTATATTTAAACGTGCCTTTTTTTCTTATTAGTTAAGGTTATCCCCCCCCCACACACACACACTGTGGCTTGATTCCTGTGATTTTAAGCCATAACTTTGATTCATCTTAGGGTAGGAATTGTTAGGTTTCTCACTTAATATAATCCTGATGGAGGCATATGAAGATGCAGAGGCATCCTTTACACAGCATGCCAGGGATTTAGAATCAGACTTGGCCGTCATACTTGGAGGTGTGTTCCTGGGCAGTTATTCACCTTTTTTCAAGCCAGGTGGATAGCAGTTCCCAAATTTCAGAACAGCCCTAATTCTGGCACGTTTTAATGCCCACCTAGCAGCTATTCTTCAGGGGAAACACATCCATTTGAATAAATACTTTGCCCTTGTATTGAAGGAGTTCTGAAACACTAACCCATATTATTTTTATATTGCTTCTCTTACAAAGATGTCCATTTGCAGCTAACAGCAGCCTATTTAGCCAGATTCTTAGGCCATCCAGGTCCATTTTATTTATAGTTATTATCTGTTTACTGTGATTTTATTTACCTTAACTTAGCTAAGTTTTGTTTTACTATTTGAAAAATATCTTATACTTTAACTTCTCCAATATTGTAAAGGTTTTACTATGGTTTTTATTTGCTATCTTACCATTAGTTTTCCTTTTCTTTGTTCTTTGGAGCTGTACTGTACTACTACTTCTACTAAATTATGATGAATGACAAAACATTCTTTATTCCCACTAAAGCCAGAATCAATACATTCTTTAACTAACCACACCTGTAGAGTTTATTCTGGCATTCAATGTCCTAAGACATAATGGAGATATTTTCTAAGAAACAGAGTATCTTAGAATACTCTGTTGTGCTATAGCGAGAGATGTACTGCAATCTCCCAATAGGTCTGGAATATGGATGAACAAGAAGTCTGCCAGAGTGATTTTAAGAGACATAATTGTGAACAACTGACAGCAATAAATGGGAGCAGAAATTGACTTGCTTAATCATCTAGCAATTTAATTGGACTAAATTTAGAATGGAGAGAGGACTGGATTTGGATTGATACAGATACATCATGTGAGGTTTCAAAATGTACCCTCCATGAGGAATTTAGAAGAGGAAAAATCTCCATTTCTACTGTCCAAAATCTCTCTCACTGAAACACAAAGAGTCAAACTAATATGCTCAGGTTCAAGATGTAACTATTTTGTGTTATATTTATTAAACAAACAAAGCATTAGTTGTTTGTTTGCACCTGAAATACTAAGTAACGCTAAAGCATACTATTCAGAATGTTGAAACAGCCTATTTCTTAAATATCTAGCACACTCTAAGCAGCTGGTTTGGAAGGAAATTTTACAAAACTCTAAATAGCTTCTAAAGTCTTACTTAATAGTACTTCCAGACTGCTGTTCTAGCCAGCTGGAGCTCTGAGTAAAGGGTGGAGATGAATAGGAACACTTTATTGTTGTTCTCACTGGTTACAATAACAAAGCACATTGTAATACAGACTTAAATAACTAGGCATATCACCTCTGGACTGCAGAAATCCAGATGAGCTCCAGATGTCTAAGAGATATAAGAAACCTGATGCCATCTAATGATTATTTAGATTTTTGTAGCCCAGAAGCAGTGTATGTTAGAAAGATACAAAAAAAATAGAAAAATATTACCTCCGTTACAAATAAGCTATAAGCCTCTTTCTCTGCATTCTCTGGAATTGTAGAACATACATACTGGTGTTGTCGTTTCAATACTGCAGTCTTTAATGGAAAAAATACACTCATTAAGAACTTTATTTGCAGGAGTGGGGTTTAGTCCTAATAGTGCCAATGTATAAAAAGGTAACCAGCATCTTTCCGCCAATTAGCAGCCCATTATAAAAACCAGCTGTGACTTTGGGCCAGTCATTCTCTTTCAGTCCAACTCACATCAAAGGATTGCTGTT